ACAACACAAACAAACGCACTTACAGACGGCGCAGTTGGTCCACCACTGGGGCGATCTCGGGAACCATAGTTTTATCGGCCTAACGTTTCAAAAGCGTACAAGCTTCCGTCATCAGAGGTGGTAATTGTACCGCGCCTCACAGTATATATATATATGTGTGTGAATAGGTGACCTTCCCGAAATAGAGCGCAATCAGCTTTTGAAGACCCCTAGAACTGGTGGATTGACGCAAAGCATAATGCGACTGGTTGTGATCTCTAATTAAAACAGTCAAAACAAGGGCGAAAGGCTTATTTTCTTCGTGTTATCAAGATAGTTAAGTAGAAACCACTCCATCCAAACCTACAGGCCACAGACCCTTAGGATGAAGCGTTTTCATAATTACTTTAGTAAATTTTAGTAAATAATCTTCGGATGATCAGCTGAGACTGGTGTCCCATGGTTTTCGGTGTATGGTGGATGGGTGAACCTCAATCCTATCATCTCTCCAAACAATTTGGGCCTGTCAAACAAAAGGATTTACATTAAATTAGTTTGAACTTTTTGCCACATTATCTCAAATGGAGAAGTTATTTCGGACCTTAAGCGCACTTTTTCGAAAATCACTTAATGTCTGGGCGTAGCCAAATTGATCACGTGTGATGAAAACTTAAAAGCCCAGAGGGAGGCTTGTGCAAAGTACTTGGCGTTTTAAACTATAATGAAGAAGACTGCGACATCAACTCAAACTCTTAGCGCGGTTGATGTCCGCCTTTCGTGTGATGAACAAAAACGCTCCATAGAGGAACAACCTCCGTGTTATTTGCCTGGTGGGTTTTGCAGGCAAAGCCTTTAAAAGTGTGTTGCTAGATGAAACACCATTACCTACCCAGTTTGACGACATGGAACGCTTCGAGGCCTCGGCTGTCTTTCTGAGTTATTCTCTAATTATGTTGGTGTTAAGCATCATAATGGCTATACTAAGAAAATATATTTTGAAGAAGGTGAGTGCTTATTCATGTAAATAGAATTGTGCAATTGCAGAAGTAGTGCCCCATTAGGTAGGCTGTTTTGGTAATTTTTAGCAAAGGCCAGTAAACTGCCCTCCAAATCGCTTGGCGTTTGATACGTTTTAAGCTTTTATATTTTAAGATTTATGGAACAAATCCCACGATTTGCTGAAATCAAAAATCATAAAGGATGGAAGCCAGCAAACCAATAAAAATGGACGATAAGAAATGATCAGTTTGTTGCTCAACATTGTTTGTTGAGCCTGGGACAAATTTGTAAAGGTTTCTACAGTTCATAATAGGCGTTTAACAGTCAAATAAACAATCGCGGCTTTTGATCCGGAAAATCACAAGAGATACGCGCCCTTTGAAAAGTAACGTTTACTGTACCACCATCGTTTGCAGTTTCGAACTAACACTGCATAGGTGAACATAATATTTTTATACTGAAAAGAAAACTATTTACTGACAAGGTTTGCATCTTCTCTCAAAAGCACCTGTACATAACGGAGAAGTAGAATAGTACACCATAAATAACAAAAGTTTTAAACAATAACGATGGTAAAATGCTATCCGCTTTAAACAGTTTGGCATGTTGTGAACAGATTAATAAGCCAAAGTGTGGAAATGGAGACTATATGAAAGAATGCACTTTGAAATTCTCAGAGACCAAGGCGGTATCATTTCTCTTCTGTATTGCTATGCGCCATTTGTTTCTCGATTTTAGAAAAAGGATACTACTGGATTTGAGGGTTTGGCAAACTCTGGAACATTGGTTGTGGCTTTTATTACTCAGTTCACGTGGGTGTCGACGTTTCTCCACAGTAGCGGCTTTGGATTGAGAGTAAGTACACAGTTAATACGTAAACAACTGATAGTCACAAAGGGGTCTTTTAAAAAGGGACCTATTTTTTCTTTGCCTCTATGCTTTCCTACGCAGTATAGTCATAAACGGTGATCTCAGCCAATGAAGGGCCTTTTCTGTTCTTTACCCCTCGCAGTTTGGCATCTCCGGTCCAGTCTGGTACTCCACCACGGCTATCTTTCCCTCCGTCCTTTTCGCTGTCCTCTTCACGCAGTTTAGACGGCGGGCACCGGGTGCTAGAACCTTTCTTCAGGTGTCACATGCCCGGTTTGGGAAGACCGCTCACATGGTCCTCTGTGGTTTTGCCCTCCTAAACAACTTTTCCATCCTTGCTCTGGTGATCTCAAGTACGTCTTATTGGGGTTTAAACGGGCACTCTTAACGTGAATGCGTCCTTTTGTCTACTGATCTACCTTATCTTTGTGTTCCGTCAACCAGCTTAGAATGACAGGAACTTTCGGACAAGACATTTAGCTTTTGTTTTCTTTTGGACGGAAAAAAAGACTTTCAATATGTGGGAGGCTCAGGGTAGCGGTTAGCAGTAGAAAAAGGAGGAGCAAGAATGAACTGAACTAAAGGGTTACTATTAGGGATAAAATTTTTGCCTTTTCAATTCCTCGGTATGCATATACAATACCGCTTCCTCTAATTTTTACATCTATCACCATCACCATAACCATCATCATTACCATCACGTCCATCAGCATGTCCACTTTAAAATTTTGTAGGACTTCACTAACTTTTACAATTGCTAGGGTCTGTAGAAAATCACTGCAATAGATATTTTTTTTTCATATTGCAAGAACCTTGAGCAAATTCCCAGGTAGATTACGGTTTGTGTTCGGGTAAGAATTCATATTGGGGATATGTTTAGAGGTGGAGTTAAGTTTAAGATAGGGCTCTACCTGGGGATGAGTCCTGGGGCTAACTTAAGGATTATGGTTAGTCAGGGTTCAGTTTATGACTCGATAATATTTACCCTTCGTAGATTTTTTTGCGTCAGACCACCTGGATTACTGTTAGGCGTTCTCTTTCCTGTGATCTCTACTATTTTTCAGGTTTATTTGCTTCTGCTTCTCGTATTACCGCTTCTCATCTCATACTTGAGTTTCTTCGTCATCATTAACTAATGTGGCTAAAAGTAGTATAAAATTTTCCACAAATAACCCAGAGGCTCATTTTAGGATGGTGACAATTTGTATAAGACGGCTCCTTCCGTACCTTTTGGGCGTACTTTAAAAAGTTTCTATCTTAGTTTCCTTGATGTTCTGCACTATCTTCTTCTACTTCTTCTCCTAACCAAAATAATAATCATCCCTCTCAGCAGCAGTAGAAGCATACGCTTTTTTCCTCTACCTACCTTCATCATCTTCTTTTCTTCGTCCTTATACTTCTCGTCCTATCCCCCTTTCCCTACATTTTCTCCTCCAAAACTTTCGACTACTGTTTGCGTGCTTCTTGCCTTTTTCCTATTGCTGTTTAATCTTTGTCGTAAAGGCATTCCTTCACCGACACCAGCAGATGCGCCACAACCAACATGACCACCATCGCCATAGTACTGTAGGTTGCCAAACTCATGCGCCTGTAAACTGGCATAATAAGCATACAGTAGGTGCACTATCTCATGAAATCCAGATTTTTACAAGTAACTCCCTCTTACTCAAACGCAGCCCAAGCTGTGGCCCCTAACGTCTTACATGACGCAGCCCAAGCTGTGGCCCCGAAAGTCTTACAGCAATAAAGTTATGATCGCTCTTCACAATAGGGCATATTATTATTTATGAAGGAGTATAACGTTTTATAGAAATACCAGCTTTTTTAACAAAGTTTAGAAACACAAGCTTTTTTAACAAAGTGGAAAATTCCGAAAAAGTGAAAATCTGGGCGTACTAGGTAAACTTAAGTTTTACATGTAGAAGAAGCCCGTTCATGCAAAAACCACTGAGTAAATAGAGCAGCACAAGTAAAATTACGTTGAAAAATAATTGTTTTGTCAAGTTTTCAAATAAATATGCTTCCATATTACGTGCAATATAGTGTATGGGTGTTACCGAAG